CACCACCATCCTTTTCCCATTAAAATATTACTTAATTAATAAAATGTCCTCCTCAAACGGTTCGTTGGAAAACTGAATGGAATGTTTCACAACTTCGAACACCTTTTGTTGATCGACGTCATTGAATGATAAATGTAACTTAGGAACATTCCATTCAGCACCGGCAACCGAACCTCTTGAATGCTCATGCACAAACACACACACACACACACACACACACACACACACACACACACACACACATACACACACACACACGCACACATAGGCACACACACACGAAACATTCACACACACACACATATACGCTCACAACATACGCATATGCACATACACACACACACACATACAACACACACGTCACTGCAAGACATACACACATGCACATGCATGTGTACTACGCTGCTTTCTTCTCCCTGCCTCTCTTTGAGCGCCGCACACCACATTCCTCTTTTTCCTCTCTTGATTCACGCTTCGGACTGCACCTTCCCTCAGCCCCATCATGCAAAGCATGGTCCATTTGTGTTGGCTCGGCTGATGACAACGATCTTCCTTCACTGTGTGACTTTCCTCCGTTCTCACCTGATTGCTCGATCAAGTTGATCACGTTCGAACTGCTGCCGCCGGATCTGCCACGGCACGAAGCTTCCTTTCCCAATCCATCCTCGCTGTCCACGTCCATGTTGTGTTCGAGGTTTGCATCCTCGTCAGCTTCTTCATCATCATTTCTCACTTCACGACCATGTGTCATATGAACTCCCTCCATACCACCACCTTCCTCCCTCTCCATCGAGTCGGGGGCTATCTACGAGCCAGAGCCAGTGCATACCATGCGCAGAAGTTTGTCCCCCTCATCTCTGTTATCAGCTAAAGGCTCGGTAGTGTCCCGCGGGCTTGGTCCTCCAAATACCAGTGCATCTCCAGCATCGTGCTCCCCCCATCTCCGTCCTCCATGTGACAACATGCATGTGTTGGCTGCCGAAAGCGGGTCTCCCAGTCCACTGGGCACCCCCATCTCCGGCATCTCCCGCATCTTCGTCGGTTGTGGCCTCCTTTTCCCCCTGTTCCTTTGTATTTCCTGCCTCTTCCCCACCACATCCCGGACCTGTCGTCTTTTCCCCTGGCACCGCACCAACGCCCTCAGAAAACGGCGTTCTTAAATAGCTCATCAACTGATGCCTTATGAGTTCCCTGTTCTTTACATTCGACGTCCTTCCTCTCACGCCCTTCCTTTTCAGCAACACTCGTTTTAACAGCTCCTTTTCTAGACCCGTTTTCGATATTCTCTTCCATGGCTTGAGTGCACCCAACCAATATGTCACTTTCGTACAGTTGTTCCGTCTGACGACACTCCAATGCCCATTTGATCTGTCCTCGTGAAGGGCTCGATTTTCTGTCATAGAAAGCAGTGCAATACTCCAGAAAATTGTTTTGAACCAGCGCTTCAAATACGGAGTTCACCTTTTTGCTAATATCTTGCTCTCCTGCACCCTTGTTTGCCTGCAGCACGCGCAGCAACAACTGTTCCTTTGTAGTCTCAAGGAACTTACTCCTGCTCAGTCTCTTCTTGAATATCCACTTCCCTCTGACTCGGACAGCCATGTGCTATTTGCCATCAAACACACATGGCTCAAAAACACCCGGATGCCATATGATGTGATGGCCCCATTTGTACATCTCAATCTTTGTGAACTTGGTGTCCAAAAAGTGAGGTCATCCTTTGCTCTCCTTCATGTGACTTTCGATTTCATCTCCAGGAGTTAGATCTTTGTCCTCGTCGTCTGGAATGTGGAACAGCGGATTGTCCTCCAGACACATGTTATCCTCCTCGGGCCCTGCGTCGTCATGTTGACCACGAGTTTGGTTCTTTGTTGGCATTTCCATGACTTGGTCGAACATTTGCCGCATCAGCGTTGGAAACCCTGGGGCGCCTCTCTTGTCTTTCCATGTCGAAGTGCTTGCCTCGGTACCATCTCCTGCGGATGATGTCTACGTGTGTGTGAGCAGGGCGGTCTTGCGGCTGGCCATTGTCGGTCCCCCGACTTCAACCACCACCGGGTGCCCCCTCGATAAAGACCCGGTGCGCATGTTCTTGTCAGCTGCGTGGTTTCTTGCATCAGGCAACGGCAGGTCGATCTCGTCATCATCGGTATCCTCCTCACTGCCCATTATATCGAAACGGTCTTCAGGTTCCAACGCTTCGTTATAAATCCTTGCGTCGATGCGACGCATCTTTCTGTCGAACCACAGGTCCTCGCAACGTGCCAGAAATATCTCGATTGCACCAATCTTGGCGTCGTGGTACCACTGGAGGTGTTGGAGAGCGTCGACTTTTCGCGCAACGTAATCAGTCTCCGTTCGTGTGTCAGGAGCATTGCAGAACAAGTACTTCCATAAAGATTCTCTCTTCTTCCTGAGTTTCAGGAACATGTCTCGGTTTGACAACGACTTTCGGGATTATGAACGAGGTGATCAATAAATGCCGAACAATATTCGAGCATGGTGGTAGAGCCGTCACATGCCACTACATGACGGCCAGATCGAAGCAAGTCCCAAACTGACCCAGATTGGACGTTGCCCAGAAGAAGCACACCCTCCCCCTCCTTCGAAAACCATGAACACAACTCCTTCATTCTTGCTGGTTGTCTCTCCCAGACCCCATAAACAACTTTGTCTTCGCCGGCCACACCGATGTGCTGTTGTGTGCAACGGGCGAATATATCCTCCTCATAGCTAGTGTCAAAAAGCACATGATAATGTTTGGACGGGACGGTGACTTTTTTGAAGTCATTGCCTGTGTCGTGCAACACAATTTTCATTGAGTCGCGGCTCTTCAATGGAAGATTCCCAAAGGGGACACATAAGGATGGTTGCGTGCCATGATGCCGTCGCCAGCGGCCCGGAAGAACTTTCACACCCCCCCACCTGAAGATGTTCCTCAGAATGTAGTCCTCGCCCTTCAATCCACTGAAAATGATGAGTGTCCAATGTGCCCCACACAGAGTCGTCATCATTTGCTGAAGTTCCACAAACCTCTGCTCCGTCCATGAATCCAGATTCTTGTGGGGAACCAGGTCTAGCACCGCAAGGTGACAACTCAATTTCTTCACAGCACGAGTCAGATCCTCTGTCAATTGCAGCCCATCCAAAGGCGCCATGCACACCGGCAAATACGTTGTATTACACTTCCGCTTATCCCACTGTATTAGCTGTGCATTTGCGTTGACGTGCTGAAGCTCGTCCTTCAACTGGCTCACCGCTCCCACTATCTCATGCAGGAACAATTTGATGAAGTACGGACACTCGATATACATTTCAGTCGTCACCTTGTACCCCCCCACATTCCCCTGTCCCAACTTTCCCTCATCCACCCCCCCCAATCGTTTTGGCACGTTGTTCGTTCTCTCAACTGGAAGTTTCATCTTCGTCTTCTCCCATTTCTCTTTCGTCAACCCGTGCGGCTCAAACCTCTTCATAATATCATCATACCCGATGAAGAAATCGTCATTCCACTCACGCTGTCCCGTGCGTTCCGACTTGAAGAGCACGTAGTTGAACATGTGCACCATGTATCTCTCCCTGCGCACTTCTGTGTAGAGGTCGTTCATGTTCATCAGTTTCTTGGCGAAAGTCCTGCCGGTGGTGACAACGACCTTCCCTGCCAAAATCAAATCCAATGCCATCTCCTTCTCCCTAGYAGTGAAATCCCCGAACACTTTCCAAGCGCTCGCCGGAGGGTCATGAACACACACATAGTACCCATTTGGACTTTTGTTCGACTGCACGTAGTGCACCAGTTCCTTTTTYCGTTTCACTGTTTTGGCAGCYGGACCWGCACCGGACGCCTCGCCTGGCMTCCCCTCTTGATCAACCGGCCTGACTCCATCCWGCCCAGGCAATTCCCCTTTCTCCCACATGTCGAAGAACCGGTTCACCAACTGCCACACTGCGTTGCCAGTGGTGGCAAGGCACATGAACGGCCTCAAGAGGTTGGACCAATTACGGACAAATTTGTTGTTCAGCGACTGATTCCAGAGCTCGGTGTCTGGTGTCATCCGTATCGCTTTGCGCAAAAAAGCGTGATAGTTCTGCTGCTGCACCACCTTGTCATCTTTTGTTTTCGCCAGATGCCAGTCGCCCTTCGGGCATTTCAAATGACCCCACAACCCTCTTATTGCGGTGACAGCCATTCCGAACGACGAAGGGATAAATCGAGTCTCCCTTGTGTTGTCAAAAGTGGAAATGTAGACATACCCGTCAAGATGGTCATCATCGAAGTACACCGCACGTGCTTTCCATGACCGCACGCCCCATTTCCTGGTAGCAGGAGAGTTCGATCGCTCCAACCTCTTCGCAGCTTCCGCCGTGTGTTGGCCTGCCACGGCGTACCAATGGTACAAACTTACATCATGGTCCCTCCCGTCCTTGGGTTTCAAACGTTGCCACTGTTTCTGCCCGTTCCGCGTGACTTATATAACAGGAGCCAGAATGAAGATGTTTCTGTCTTACTCTTTCTGTTTCTCTGGCCGTTCCATAGCGTCTTTGATGGAGGCGACCAACATCTCGTTCAGGGGTCTGTGATTGTACTGGAATTCCCCGTTGTCTGGGTTCGGCAAAATCTTGCGGACATGTACGAACACCTGAACAGGCCGGTCGATCGCATTGTCGTCGTCATCATACTCCAGAAAGAAACATCTCGTTGTGTCGATAGCATCCGACACCAACTATTCCGGTTTGGACGTATTATCTCGGGGGTCAACCCCGACCGCCTGTCTTCGCTTTCTTCTTTTGTCGTTGGGAAGAGCGTGGTCCCTCGCGCTTTTCCTTCGCCGGCTTCGCCGACTGTGCGTCCAATGCCTTTTTATACGCCTCCTCCGAAGCTGTCAAACCTATCAACTTCGACTGTCTTCGCCTCTGCTCCTCATCACCGCTAGCTCTCGATTTTCTCTTCCCCGAGCATACTGATATCTGTGTGTTGAGGACGTCCTCGTCTCCAGAGCGAAGCCTCTGACTGTCGACGCATTTGCGAGACTCATTGACAGACACTCCGTGTTCATTGGCTTCGTCCTCTTCCCCTTCGCTCCCCGCTTCGTAGCTGTCTTCGTCCTCCGCCCCCCGAACCCCAGTTCCCTCGTCGTCATCGCTATCTTTGAGCCCACGATGGTCGTCACCGTCTTCCTCGTCATCCCCACCGTCGTCGTCGTCGCCTCCGTCCTCTTCTTCCACCCCTTCCTCGCAGTCCCCGACTCCCTGTTCGTCACCGTCCCCACCGTCATAGCTAGTGAACTGATCGTTTTCGTCTTCGTCATGTCCTTCGTTCCCTTCATTATTTCTCTCAAGCACAGGTTGCTCAACTGATAAGTCGTCCTCCGTCTTCTCAGGATCCTCGCCAACTTCGCTGCCACCATCATGACGTGAAGACGAAACTTCCGTCGGACCTTGCCATCGCTTCAGACCCGGCGATAACCATTTGGACACCGTATTCGTTAGCGAACGCGGCGCGAGATCAGACTTCTGGACAGGCTTAGACTTCTCTACGACCTTATCACATTCGGTAATTCCCACCGAGCTGATTTGTCGAGCACCCGGGTCCCCACCGCCATGCGGCGACCCAACAGAGATCGCACTGTGTAGAATAGCCTGGCCCAGCGCCTGCAATTTATAAGACCGAAGCTTCGATGCGAATTCGTCAAGTTGAATATCGAACGGTATGAGGGGTTCCGAGAGCGCCAATTTGCTGTCCACCGTGCATACATGGCTAAACACCTTGTGGTAGTTAATTCTCTTGAGAAAATCGAAAGGGCGGAGCATCACGACCTGCGATCGGTCTTTTTTCCGCGACTTATCAAAAGGAGGCATAGCAGCGGCTCGCATGCCGTACCCGACGAACTTCTGCAAATGCAGTGACACCTGTTTGTGGTTGTCCGGTTCCTCGTTACCATCAGCGTCGAAGCAAGTGGTGAGGTGAAATCCCATGTACTCCTCAGCAACCTCCAGTTTATCAAACTCGTAATTCTTCACTCCACCGCAGGGGTAGTAAGCCCCGCTGGAATCTCTCAAGAAAACGACCGGGCCGCAATAGGGGACTTTGATGCCCAGGTGCCAATCGAGCGCCCAATACTTATCATCGAATGTCGCAGCCCTGCCAATCACCTTTGGCGTCGACGCACCCGAGGAGGTGTCTTTCCCAGTTACACAAACACCACACTCGATACGGAAATGAGCACGCAGTTGAATATGCACGGTTTATGAACCCTTCACAGAGAGAGAGAGAGAGAGAGAGAGAGAGAGAGAGAGAGAGAGAGAGAGAGAGAGAGAGAGAGAGAGAGAGAGAGAGAGAGAGAGAGACGCACAGACAGACACACAGACAGCCACACAAAGAGACACGCAGACTAGAGAGAGAGAGGGAGAGACACAGAGCACAGACAGACATAAAGAGAGGCAGATACACATACAAACAGACGGCCTCTTCTATGGTCCGGCGTCGCCGGGACGCCGGACCACCGGCATGTGTGTGTGTGTGTGTGTGTGTGTGTGTGTGTGTGTG